GTATCCAGACAGGTAGATAGGAACCTGTGTTTGCAGTTAGATACCCAGTGTGGCAAGGCGTTATTTTCTGTTCGTTTTTTTTTTTTTTTGCTGTTTTTGGATATATGCACCTTGTGTTCACCAGTCTTGTAAATACAGCACAACTTTCCTCACCAAGATCCTGCTGTCGTGCTGAGCCTCTTTCACCGTGCTCTGACTCATCCAGGGAGTCAAGCACAACCCGCTACTTGGCTAATCTCTCACAAGAGATAAGTCCCGTCTAGCCTGAGCCAAAACAGTATAGGACTAGGAGAAGAATCTGCTGAAAATGCCATTGCTGCTTCAGCCTCCAGCTTTTCCAGATGATCTGCTTGATAAGCATGATCTTTCCTAACTGCCTTAATGGCTGATACATATTCACCCCTAGGTGTGGCCTTAAAGACCACCCAAACCATTGAACATGAGGCAGAAGTCTCATTAATGTCCCAGTATTGAGAAATCTTAGGAGAGACAACAATGGCCACCTTAGTGTCAAGGGCCCAGCGTCCTGCCAGTCTCCAGCACCCAGTGTGCTTATGATGAGAAAAATGTAAAGTAAGGGGGCATTGTCAGACAACCCCACTGGAAGATAAGTCACCGCCTGCACATTAGACAATACTGGAGCATCACAAAATAAAAAAACCTATGCTGAACCCCAATCTATGGTTGGCCGAGAGGTGGGAGTTGGCCCTTTTCATCTGGATGTTTTCACCTCCAGAGTTCGGCGAGACCTAAACTGGCCACCCACGGCAATAAGTAAGGATGAGGGAGTCGAGGTGAATTAGACGCATCCAACACCATGTCTAATGTAGGGCCAACTTCTCACATACTGTATATTATTATTATTATTATACAGGAGTTATATAGTGTCAACAGTTTGCGCAGCGCTTTACATTATAAGGGAGACAGCACAATTACAATACATTTCAGTACAGAAGGAATATGAGGGCCCTGCTCGTGGAGCTTACAATCTAAAGGAAGGGGGAGGTAATACAAAAGGTGATAGCTGTAAGGGATGATCTGGTGGAGGTGACTCAAGTGCAGTTCTTAGGTGGAGGTGGGGTAAGCTTCCCTGAATAAGTGAGTTTTCAATGATTGCCTAAAGGCAGACAGGGTGGGGACTGACTGGACATACTGTGGTAGGGAGTTCCAGAAGTCCTGGAGGCAAGCGTGGGAGGAGGTAATGAGGGAGCTAGAGAGGAAGATGTCTTGGGAGAAGCAGAGTGGGCGATTTTGGCAATATCTGTGGATGAGGTTGGCGATGTAGCTAGGGGCAGTGTTGTGGATGGCTTTGTAAGCTGTGGTTTGTATTTTGAATTTTATAAGTCGGTTAGTGGGAGCCAATGAAAAGATTGGCAGAGAGGGGCAGCAGTCACTGATCGGTGTGTAAGGTGTATGAGTCTAGCAGCAGCACTCATAATAGACTGAAGGGGGGATTACCTGTGTAACGGTAGACCAGTGAGGATGGAGTTGCAGTAATCAAGGCGGGATATAACCAAGGTGTGGATAAGTTGTTTTGTAGTGTCATTGGTCAGAAAGGGGCAGATTTTGGAAATGTTCTGGAGGTTGAGGTGCAGGATTTAGCCAGTGATTGGCTGTGGGTCCAAAAGGAGAGATCAGAGTCTAGGATTACGCCTAGCACCCTGGCATGAGGGGAAGGACCAATGGTTGTGCTGTTGATCTTAATGGTAAAGTCATGAGTGGGGGATGGGGGGGGGGAAATATTATAAGCTCGGTTTGGAAAGATTGAGTTTAAGGTAGTGGTGTGACATCCATGCTGATATGTCGCTTAGTAGATTTGTGATACATGAGGAGATTGAAGGGGTGATCTGGGGAGTGGAGAGAGAAATCTGGGTGTCATCAGTGTAGAGGTGGTATTGGAAGCCATTGGAGGTTATTAGTTGGCCCAGGAAGGAGGTGTAGAGAGAGAAAAGGACAGAACCTTGGGGTACCCCAATGGAAAGAAGGAGAGGAGTGGAGGAGGAGGCATTATATGTGACGCTGAAAGTGCGCTGAGAAAGGTAAGAGGAAAACCAGGAGAGAGCAGTCACAGAGATCGATGGAGTGGAGTATACTGAAGAGGAGCGGGTGGTCAACTGTGTCAAAGGCAGCGGAAAGGTCAAGGAGTACGAGTATGGAGTAATGGCAATTGGTTTTAGTAGTTAGTAGGTCGTAGTGAGTTTTAGTAGGGCAGTTTCAGTGGAATGTTGTGGGCGGGAGCTGGACTGTCAGGGATCAAGAAGGTTGTTGTCAGTGAGGTAGCAGTTCATACGGTTGTGAACCGGTTGCAGGGTATGAGAAGTTTGTAGGCGAATGGGAGCAGGGAGATGGATCTTAAGTTATTCAAACAGGTGGGGTCCAGCGCAGGTTTTTTGAGTATGGGGGTAATCAGTGCATGTTTGAGCGGGGAGGGAAAGGTGCCCATGAAGAGTGCGAGGTTGAAGATGTATAAAAAAATGTAAGGTCAAAAGGGGGGGGGGGAACATATACATTAACATTACCAAAGGCCTAAACGGAAATGGTTGCACATATGTCTAAACACAAAATATTATATCTACCCCCGGGATCTGTAATAACCTTTTCAACCGTACCAGGACCACCTTAGTGCCAATATCCTATTACCCATAAGATAGGTTTCCTGTAGGAATAATATTGTATATGCAGTTTGTGAGAATTAAGGAATTTAAATAACAGTGATCATTTGATTTTATCAATGAGACCTCGGATGTCCCATGAGATAAGTTTTCAATCCATACTGTATGTGGTAACTGAAATGAGTCAGAAGGGAGAAGCAAAATTAGAGACCCTGCAGGCCAAGATACTGGCCAGGGGGGTGCCATTTGGTCACAAGGAACAAATACATGGAAGATATAGGACTCAAACCAACCAGAAAAATGTGATAGCAGCTGAGCAGATAAAAACTTAACATAACATTTAAACTCCCTATTTCCTATATTAGACTGCAATATAACTTGTCTAAGGCAATTTAATACCCAAAACTAGACTTAAAGTCTGCTTAACAGTCATGGTAGATCTGTAGGAGATCAAGCACAAGATCCTCTTCCGGATAGTCCACGATATTCTTCTGACCACTGAACTAAAGGGGTACAATCAGTACAACTAAACAGCAGTGTCCATCAAGAGGGGGAGCTCCTCCATTACATATGGAAAATGTGCCATAGGTGAGCACAGGGGTAAAGGGCTAAAAGCAATACTGACCCGAGTAGCAAACGGTCAATAACCAGTTGCCAGCCTCCTTAGGGGTATTTGAGAACCACACAGAGCCTTCATAGGAAACACGGAGCCAACTAGGGTATAGCATACTGTATTGCACACCTTTCTCACTGAGTTTCCATCGTACCTCATTAAAGGACTCTTCTGTAGCTCCGCGTAGAAGTCGGCAAACAGATGAACCGTGGTGTTCTCATAGGGTAGCGTAGCGTATTTCCAAGCTTCATTGAGGATCCAATCCGTATTCCAGTAGTTTAGAAAATGAACCAGGAAGGGTCTGGGTGGTGCTTCAGGAACACCTTTGCCAGTAGGAACCCTGTGGGCTCGCTCAACCACATAGATAGGGAAGACTTCAGCAAGGCCTTGAAGAGTTTTGAAGAAAGACTCTGGAAATTCTGCCGGGTTGTCCCCTTCAGCTCCCTCCAGAAGGCCTAGCTCACAGACATTGCTCTGCCACAGACGATTTTCAGCATCTGATTTAGCCATCAGTGACTGTATGCTGAAGGGAATGTAAGAGATCGGTATGTTGAGCGGTGGTGTCCTCAGTGGTAGAGATGCGGGATTCTGTTTTGGTGACCTCTGACCTCACTTAGAATTTCACTCTTCTGCCAGATGGTCAGTCCGGACCATAAGAGATGTCTTGCTGTACTCTGTAGCCTTCAGGATAACCTCGGTGTCTTTGCTGGGAGACAGACCCAGAGAATGAGCGGAGTGCTCGGAGAGTCCAGCAGCCTCCATCTCAGCCAACAGTGCATGCAGCTTTCTAGCTAAGATGCTGTCACAGCACGAGACCGCCGTGGGATCTGACTGCTGTAGGGAAGTGGAGCAGCGTTTATATGTCATAGTCAACACGGGGATCACAGCAAGCTCTCAAAGCCAGGAAGAAAAAAGGTACGGCTGGATACAGCAGGAAACAGCCAAGATTAAGTCAGAATGATAGGAGCTCCCCTAGCAGATGTCCACCATGCTTTACATGTAAGCCACGCCCCATCTGGAGCCCTTTCTTGACTTGGTTATTAAATGGGTCTTTTTGCATTGTATGCTGCATTGTCTACTTCTTAGCTGAACTGCTTTTGGGCATCTCATAGTTAAGACTAAAATCCTGTGTTTTATACTGTACAATTAAGAAATTAGGATTTTTGACTTACCAGTAAAATCCTTGTTTTTTAAGTACAGTACAAGACACAGGTCCTTTATGATCTCCTTATTGCTTTCTATGAAGAAAAAGCTTTTTGGGAGTGGAAGGGGGTGTATAAGGATGTATCTGCACCTTTTTGCCAGTGTCCAGTCACCTGAAAGTAAAGGCATATAACCCATGGTTTAAACCGAATTCCGGTCAAAAGAAATCTAACGTCACTGGACTGGACATTTTTTAGGAGTAGTTAGGTTGTGACTGGAATTCCACTTTAAGACTAAGGTCCTAGACTGTAATCCAAGAAAAGATTTTACTGGCATGTAAAAAGACCTATTTTCCTTGCATAATTTGGTATTGTCAGTGTAGCGCAAAGTCACTGGACTTTTTAAAATATGCCCTTTAATTTGCATACTAGAAATGGAAATGCGGGCTTAGTGATATTGATTGAAAAGAGTGAATAGATCTATGGAAAAGGAGGAATAACAGTCACATATATTATGCATAACAATTATTTTTGAATGATTTCCTGATATGTTTTGTCTAAAATGTTACTTCAAAGTTAAATATTTGTTTATTTACTGTAAATTACTTACAATGGCTCATCTTTTTTTTTTAGAAGTAACTCCAGAAGTCTGTCACATTTCATTTGTGTTCCCAAATGGAGACACTTATGGTAAGAAATTAATTGTAGTTTTTTTTTTCCTACTAATGTATAATGTGCAAAGGTTTGGCAACTTGTCATTCATTGATTGTGAAGAAAATAGCACTGGTTAACCACTTGAGCACCTGAGGATTTACCCCCCTTAATGACCAGGCCTTTTTTTGCTGTTTGCGCTGCACTAATTCAAATGATAATTGCGCGGGTCATGCAATGCTGTACCCAAATGAAATTTACGTCCTTTTTTTCACACAAATAGAGCTTTCTTTTGGTGGTATTTTATCACCTGTGCGCTTTTTATTTTTTGCGCTATAAACAAAAAAAACCACAAAAATTTTGAAAAAAAACAATATTTTCTACTTTCAGCTATAAAAAATATATCGTAAACTCAAAGTTAGTCATAAATTTAAGCCAAAATGTATTTTGCAACATGTTTTTGGTAAAAAAAATCCCAATAAGTGTATATTGATTGCTTTGTGTGAAAGTTATAGCGTCTACAAACTATGGTATAGATACTGTAATTTATGCCTTTTTTTGCTATACAGCGCTGCACTAATTCAAATGATAATTGCGCGGTCATGCAATGCTGTACCCAAACGAAATTTACGTCCTTTTTTTCACACAAATAGAGCTTTCTTTTGGTGGTATTTGATCACCTGTGCGCTTTTTATTTTTTGCGCTATAATAAAAAAAAAACACGAAAATTTTGAAAGAAAACAATATTTTCTACTTTCAGCTATAAAAAATATATCGTAAACTCAGTTAGTCATAAATTTAAGCCAAAATGTATTCTGCTACATGTTTTTGGTAAAAAAAAATCCCGTGCATTAGCGGGCAAACTGGCGCTATCTGGGAGGGGCGCTAACACTATCGGAAGTCACCAGTGACACTAATACAGTGATCAGTAAAAACCTGTTCACTGTAATCAATGACACTTGTGACAGGGCAGTGAAGGGGTTAACTGGGGGGGGGGGGGGGGGGGGCGATCAAGGGGTTAAATGGGATTTCTGGTGCACTAGCAGGCAAACTGGCGCTATCTGGGAGGGGCGCTAACACTATCGGAAGTCGCCAGCGACACTGATACAGTGATCAGTAAAAATCGGTTCACTGATCAGTGACACTGGTGACAGGGCAGTGAAGGGGTTAACTGGGGGGGGGGGGAGATTAAGGGGTTAGACGGGATTATTGGTGTATTAGCGGGCAATCTGGCGCTATCTGGGAGGGGCGCTAACACTATCGGAAGTCGCCAGCAACACTGATACAGTGATCAGTAAAAATTGGTTCACTGATCAGTGACACTGTGTCTTCTTCTCTGTCTGGAACGGAATGTGTCCAGGCACTGAGAAGAATTACATCACTGTGTCTTCTTCTCTGTCGAATAGGAAAATAGGCAGAGAAGAAATTACATGGTCATATCCTGTCCTGTGTAAATGTCAACACAGGACAGGATAGGACAGGAACCGATCATCTGATTTCAGCCAGACATCACTGGCTGAAATCTAATGACTGATCCCTCCGGGATCGAATCGTGTCACCCGCGGGTTGGTGGGAGCGCGAACCCGTTTTAAAACGTGGTTTTGCGCCTGAGTGCTGCCCTGCACACGTATATATACAGTGGCAGGGCGGCAAGCGGTTTTTAAAGCTTGTATGAGGAGTTTTCACTCTCCTTTCACTGTCCTATGAGACTGCAGGACCCTTGACCCTCTGTCTGGACAGTGCTGATTGGCCCTGTGCTGATCACATGCACTCTCCGAAGAAAAAGAAAAACTCTTTAGCAATACACATCAAACAGCATGTGCAGCTTGCTCCCAGGGCTCTGTTCTATCAGGAGAAGAGTCTGGAACAGTGGAAGAAGGGAAAGATCAGAGAAGGCAGAATTAAACATCTTTTTTACATAATGCAGAGGCTTAACCACTTAAGTTCCAAATGAGTATGACAAGCATGCTTTACTACATATGCAGATTGATTTTACTGTTGTGGGTTCATTAACACTTTAACCTTCTATCCTAACCCATAGAATCTGATCTTGCATATACTTGCCATTGTTATACCCTTCACAATCCTTTCTTACATTTACTACCCACTGTCAAACTCCTGCAGACACTTACCACTGTTATACCATTTACTCCTCTGCCCATACCCTTCCCAATCCTTACTAGTTGGTACAGCTCCTTCTCACATGTTGTGCAATCCTCTTCTGTTGCTTCATAACCTCCATAATTCTCTAATACACATACTGTCTGCTTTTATACTCCCCATATTTCTCTCCTGCTTCTCCCACTTCTTTCTTGCAAATATGTCCACTCTCATACTTTCTGCCCCCCCCCCCATACTGCCCACTGTCATAACTTTCAGTACTTTTATCCTGCGAATCCTGGCAGCTATTTATGCTGTCCTCACTCCTGCCCTGCACATAATATCCAATGTCATACCTTTCAGTAATCCTGTTCTGCATATTCCTTTCTCTTATAACCTCCATTCCCCTTTATTCCACCTAATGCTCTCTGTCTACACTCCTCTCCTGCACATACTGTCTGCTGCCATTCCCTGTAGCACTCCTGAATATACAGCCCATTGTCATTCCCTCCACCACTTTTCTCCTACACAGAAAATACTTGAAAAAACACAGGGTGACATAAAATCAGCTGCGTTGGGTTATGTTGCTGCCTTCCGGAAATTGGACATCGGCAAACAAAGACATAAGGGCAGCCTAGTATAACTCTTCCCACTACTATCATGCCTTGGTTCTTTAGCTTGTGTCCCAGATGAATGGATGTCTTCTCTCCGCTGAGAGAGGCAAAACCTTTTCATTACATTTTTCCTAAGATTGTTTTTTTTCTAGCAGATCCTGCAGAGCCAGAGGGGGCTCTTTGGCTGCTTTCTGGATCAGCTGATCCATTGCCATGAAAGCCATACCTGGACCTTGCTGTGGGGAAGAGCAGGGTCCTTGATATCTATAATGTGTTCTTGATAAATGGGTTTTGCTGAAGACACTCCCTTAGACACCTGTGTGTAATGTGTGAATCAGCCACAGAGCATTTTACAGGACCAGGGTCGTGGTGCACCTACTGGTGGAACCCTGTCACAAAAGACTCCTTGGGGAGTGTGCCCACCAAAAGGTTGGAGACTAGTGAAAGCAACATGTTCTCTGCATCCTGCCTCTCTGTCCCCTGTGTGTCTGTGTGAGAACCACAGGACCTCAGCTTTGGTGAGTTTGGGCTTTAGCCCTAAGGTTTAACTTAGAGGGCCCCATTTTCAACTCTATTGGCCCATGTGGCAGGAATCGGAGCTGTGCTATATTTGAATTTGTTGCTCTAGTGGCCCTTTTCTGCAAATATTAATACAGGCAAACTTTTTTTTTTTTTTTAACATTGGACAGAGTTGAAAGGGATTAGAACACATGTTGGGTATTTTTTTGCTCTCTGTGCCTTCATAAAGGAGATTCATCCTTTTTATTTGTCATGTTAACCATTATCATCAAAAGTTAAAGAAAATTCCACATTTTGGGTTGTACCCAGAACAGTAATAGAAAGGAAATATATCAATGGGGAAATTAGTCCTGTGACTCTGGTGACAGCCAGGGATTCCCTCACTTTGGAGTCATTTTCTCTCCCTTTCTGTTTTGGCTATGGGACAGGAATTGAAGGGAAATCTCCCTATTGGAACACAGATAGCAAAAACACTGACAGGGTTTCTCTTTAAGGATGCAATTTTGATCCTTAAGATACAGCCGACCATGCCCAGGCTTGGAGCTACCTATTAAGACTTTTGCAATGTGTTCACTTTTGCAACCTATTTTGTATAGGCCTTATCCAGGTATTTTGCTCCCACATTCAGACATTCCAGTAATGATGATTCTTTCAAAGCAGTTACATATGCCCAATTTATTTTTTGAGATATGCAACTAAACATTCTAGCAGCACAGGACAAGCAGGCCCAGTTCCTGGACCATTGCATACACCTGACCCACAAAACCAGGCTTGTTGTGGCCTGGTGATGCAGAGCTGGAGTTGAAGAAATATTTTCTCCCCTTGGTTTGGAAGGATACTCTCTCAGTGCAAGGGACTTGGTTGCTTAGAAAGCTCATCTACCAGTTAATATCCTTCATGCTCAGAGCTATTCAGTTATCCCTTCAACACTTCAATACTGGACCTCTCAGTTGTGAGATCATCAAATCAGGGTCCAGTCTGACATTGCCATGACAGTGGCCTATATCAACCATCATGGCGGAACCAGAATGCAACTGATGCTCTGCAGGATTAGTTCAGTCTGATCTATTTTTCCTCTAAAACTTTTTCCCCAACTGCTGCATAGGAAGCAGAGGGAGGGCATTCTGGTGATTGTGCATCATACGAAACTGGTCCAGGCAAACGTGGTACTCCGACCTCGTCAGATGCCTGGCTAATTGTTTCTGGGCCATTCCCAGATCTTCCAGATCTTCTGTCCCACAGACCAGTTTACTACCCTGCATTTTGTTCACTGGCTTTATCAGCCTGGCTGTTGAAGTCCAGGTCCTAAGGCATAGGGGCCTGTCTAATTCGGTTATCCCTATGCTTTTAAAATCTAGGAAACCAACTTCTCGCGAAGTCTACCATCGCACCTGGAAAGGTGCTCTGTGTCTGCACTGACCGATTAGAATTGCTCGAATCCATCCCGGAAGTGCTGCAGAAAGAAGAGGGAGAAGAGCGGGGATTCAAATTCCTGCAGCACTACACTGGCTGCGTGGTCACTGACAACTCATCACCCACAGAAGCAAGTACAGTGAAGACAAGGGGGGAGGAAAGGGATATGGTATTAGTTCACCTTTTAATTTTTTCTGAAAAGTTGAACTTACACTAGAATATAAATAAGCATGGTGCAATGAAATTAGCTGTTGATTAGTATGACTGGAAGAGTAAAAAGTTGTGAAACAACTAAATATAATTCAAACTGCCATTGAGCTATGAAGTCTAGGGCATGTGTAAGTTATTTGAGTTAATTGTAATAAACTGTCTGCAATGGCTAAAAATGGTAACAGCCATTGTTTGAACCTTTGTCACGTACCTGGTCTTGAGGCCGAACTGAGGAGAGGGCTCTCCTGGTGACTAAGTGCTCTACACCTCTGAAGGGAACAGGAGATGCTGAACCCAAAGAAGCAGATAGTTACAAATATTATGAAGACAGATAGTGCTGTAGCGGTGGACTTCTGCAAATAGGAACCAGGTGATAAGGCCAGGTGAGTACTGGATCATGCAGCCATTTACAGCAGAAGGCAGGTCACAGCAAGCAGGCAAGACAGGAGGCGAAGTCAGGGATGAATGCCAGATTCAGAACACCAAAATCAGGGGCTAAGTCAAGGTCATGTACAGGATGCAGGCAGAGGCAGATCTGCAAAGAAAGCAGAGGTCAGTAACCAGGAGAGAAGCAGGGGTAGTCCAGAAGTCAGCCGGGTCAGTAACAGGAAATCAGGAGTATAAGCACACAGGAAACAAGAGCTACAGGGAGCTGAAGACCGGTGAGCAGTCTGTTAGCATCTGTCATCCTTATAAAGGCCAGAGTGTGCCAAGATCTATCAAACATGGTGTGCACCGTGAACGAATATTTGTGTGCCGCAAATGACCATGCTGGGTATTGACAAGCTTGGCAGGCCTTTGAGGCAATCTTCTCCTGCATATCCCCTGAAAACCTTGCTCCACCCACTAACAGATTTCCGCATAACCAACATATGTCTATTGTAGTAGGAATGTCATTCAATTTGAAAACAATTTACACCTGCAAGCACATAACCTAAATGATTAACACCCATCCAAACTGCACCATTACAGTTTGAATATGTTAATTATTATTGATTATTTCACACTTTTTCCCATTTGTAGTTATATTGTTGGATTAGGGTTACTGAGTTGCCCATGTTGGAATAAATAATGTGGTATGTTACATGAACTGGAGTGTGTGTTGCATATTCTAGTTAGAAACTAGATTTGTTGTTGTGAGCAACCTTTTCACTTTTTCCTAACTTGAACTGAGGAAGTCCGTGAACCATCTTTAGCTTCTCAAAACAAATCTAGTTGCATATACAATTTTCTTCTCACGTTTTCAAATGAGATCCAGTGTAGTTCCCGTGAGGTGGTAATATGTGCATTTATTTTACTTCAGATGGTGAATGCACACGGTCAGCAACAGGAGTATTTGAGAGAAATGGAATGGGAGTAAATAAATCTCCAAATGGTGTTACATATACTGGATCCTGGAAAAATGACAAGGTAATAATAGATACTGTATAAATGCTTTACAATCAGTCTATTTAATGTCATATTAGTAAAATAATAATATTTAAAGTTATTTTTACATAGACACCCACTGTTCATCCAAAAATGATTCCCTGCTAAGTCAGATGAGAATGGAAATGGATGTCTTAACCACTTCCAGTCCGGACACTTTTACACCCTTCCTGACCAGGGCAATTTTCAGCTTTCAGCGCTATCACACTTTGAATGACAATTGCACGGTCATGCAACACTGTACCCATATTAATTTTTTACCATTTTTTTGAGACAGATAAAACTTTATTTTGGTGGTATTTATTCACCGCTGGGATTTTTTTTTTTTTGCTATGTAAATGAAAATGTCCAAAAATTTTGAAAAAAGTGTTTTTCTTATAAAATTTTGCAAATAAATAATATTTCATCATAAATCTTGGCCAAAATTTATTCCGTTATCTTTTTAGTAAAAAAAAATAAATAAGCCAAATTAGTTTATAACCAAAAATTATAATTTTTAAACATTTTTTTTTTTTTTTTATATTATTTTTTTTTTTTTTTTTTTTTTACATACTGTCACCCTAGCAGTACAGTGTCACCATGGTGACACTGTACTACTTTTGGGGGGTGATGAAGATTTTTTTTTTTACACTGATTGCTTTTACACCCATATAGGATGTAAAAGCAATAATTTCTCTTTCTCTCTGTCTGCATTCCTGCAGCCATTGAGAACTACCGAGTGAGCTGTGATTGGTCACAGCTTGTCACATAATACAAGGCTGTTGTGAATAGCCTTGTACCTTGTGACCTCTGTGATCATTCGCAGATTTCACACGTAGTAAGCAATGATGTCAGAAGTGACATCTTGCTTACTACTTTGCATGTGATCACTGATTGGCCAATCAGTGATCACATGATCGGGACCTCGTAGAGAGGTCCCGTCCAACGATCGGTGTTTCACTGTGTCCGGAGGACACAGCGGGCACTGGATCGTGGTGCTGCGCGCTCCAGGGGAGCGCGCACAAGCAGGGTACGGGGAGGCCGTTTATAAACGGCCACCCGACCCTGCAGTGCCACCATCCAGCCATTTATATATAAGGGCCGGTCGGGAAGTGGTTAATTGTGACATACATGTCTGCTCTGATGGAGGAAAAATGGACCCCGTAAACTCTGTAAATGCCTGGATGTGCATCTGTCTCTTTCCATACACACCCAGTTGATCAGGTCAAGCTTTTTCCATTTGGTCCAACCAACCTGAATGGACCTTGTGGTCCATGTTGGTGGATATACAGTAGGTGAATGCTTGTCCACTTACATCCGGCCACCAGTAGGGATATATTGCAGTCTGTTTTTGATCCACATAACCACAAGTCTGCTTGGTAGTACTTAGATTGCTCCTGACTATGGTTTGCTTGAGGTGAGAAAGGTCAGGATGCAAAAGTGTGTGTGAGGGGCTTCTAACTATTTTGGCAGATGTTCTCATCCACAGCACTCAGGCTGCCACTGCACTGATGCACACTGCTATTTCACAACCACTGCACCAATGTGCTAATGAGCACTCCCTCCCATTGCACAGACACGCTCTTCTGTACTCGCCATCAGTACACTCACTTTCTCATCTGCTCTTGTCATCACTGAACTGACATGCTCTTCTTCAGTCACTGCCGATGCACTGATGTGCACTTCAAAACTCATCACCAGTGCACTGCCACATTTTTCTGCACTTGCCATCACTGCACCAATACACCCTTTTTTAGTAGCTAGCACTGCAGTGCACTGATATGCTCTTTTGCACTCACTGCTACACACTGATGCACACTTCTGCTCTCACAGCCACTGCACCGATGCCAATTTATTCACTTTCTACTACACCATCATGTGCTTCTGTATTCAGCTCATTCAGTGAACAGGCACACGTTTGCTAGTAGACTTGTATGGGGGAGAAGTAGTTCTTGACCTAAAAACAAAAGCCCATCAATATTGATGCTAAAATTGCCACATACCATACTTCTGTCAGTTGTTAATATAGTGTAATGTAAGTGGGATATGGAGAATTTCTGTAAAAGTAAAGTATGAGTCTGGAAAATATTTTATATACCTATTTTTAGGGGTTTCATTACTTTGCTCATATACACATATATACAGGTGAAACTCAAAAAATTAGAATATTGTGCAAAAGTTCGTTTATTTCAGTAATGCAACTTAAAAGGTGAAACTAATATATGAGATAGACTCATTACATGCAAAGCAACATAGTTCAAGCCGTGATTTGTCATAACTGTGATGATTATGGCTTATAGCTCATGAAAACCCCAAATCCACAATCTCAGAAAATTAGAATATTGTGAAAAGGTACAATATTCTAGGCTCAAACTGTCCCACTCTAATCAGCTAATTAAGCCATAACACCTGCAAAGGGTTTCTGAGCCTTTAAATGGTCTCTCAGTCTGGTTCAGTAGGAATCACAATCATGGGAAAGACTGCTGACCTGACAGTTGTGCAGAAAACCATCGACACCCTCCATAAGGAGGGAAAGCGTCAAAAGGTAATTGCAAAAGAAGTTGGATGTTCCCAAAGTGCTGTATCAAAGCACATTAATAGAAAGTTATGTGGAAGGGAAAAGCGTGGAAGAGAAAGGTGCACAAGCAGCAAGAATGACCGCAGCCTGGAGAGAATTGTCAGGAAAAGGCCATTCAAAAGTGTTGGGGACTTTCACAAGGAGTGGACTGAGGCTGGAGTCAGTGCATCAAGAGCCACCACACAAAGACGGATTCTGGACATGGGATTCAAATGTCATATTCCTCTTGTCAAGCTGCTCCTGAACAACAAACGTCAGAAGCGTCTTACCTGGGCTAAAGAAAAACAGACCTGGTCTGTTGCTGAGTGGTCCAAAGTCCTCTTTTCTGATGAGAGCAACTTTTGCATCTCATTTGGAAACCAAGGACCCAGAGTAAGGAGGAAGAATGGAGAGGCATACACTGCAAAATGCTTGAAGTCTAGTGTGAAGTTTCCACAGTCTGTGTTGATTTGGGGAGCCATGTCATCTGCTGGTGTTGGTCCACTGTGCTTCATTAAGTCCAGGGTCAACGTCTACCAGGAGATTTTGGAGCAATTCATGCTTCCTTCCGCAGACGAGCTTTATGGGGATGCTGACTTCATTTTCCAGCAGGACTTGGCACTTTCCCACACTGCCAAAAGCACCAAAACCTGGTTCAATGACCGTGGGATTACTGTGCTTGATTGGCCAGCAAACTCGCCTGACCTGAACCCCATAGAGAATCTATGGGGCATTGTCAAGAGAAAGATGAGAGACATGAGACTGAACAATGCAGAAGAGCTGAAAGCCGCTATTGAAGCATCCTGGTCTTCCATAACACCTCAGCAGTGCCACAGGCTGATAGCTTACATGCCACACCGCATTGAGGCAGTAATTACTGCAAAAGGAGCCCAAACCAAGTACTGAGTACATATGCATGCTTCTACTTTTCAGAGGTCCGATATTGTTCTATGTACAATCCTTGTTTTATTGATTGCATGTAATATTCTAATTTTCTGAGATTGTGGATTTGGGGTTTTCATGAGCTGTAAGCCATAATCATCACAATTATGACAAATCACGGCTTGAACTATCTTGCTTTGCATGTAATGAGTCTATCTCATATATTAGTTTCACCTTTTAAGTTGCATTACTGAAATAAATGAACTTTTGCACGATATTCTAATTTTTCGAGTTTCACCTGTACATCTAAACATTTAACTGAAATCATAAGTATTTCTTAAATGCTTATAGATGATTTTTTGTTTCTTCTAGTACTAATCTTTTTCTAAGTAATTCTTAAAGTCTTGAGATCACTACTCGGATATTAGGAAAACATTTACATTTATGCATAAAAACATTAAATCATTGATTAAAACATTATCAAATTATGGAGTTGATTTACTAAAATTGGTGAGTGCAAAATCTGGATCAGCTTGCAAGTTTTTTTTTTTTTTGTCAAATCTTAATTGAACAAGCTGAAGTTAGAAGCTGATTGGCTACCACGCACAGCTGCAGCAGATTTTGCGCTCTCCAGTTTTAGAAAATCACCGCATATGTGTTCAGACATGGACAAATAATTTGAATCTGAAACACATTAAAGTGGACCTTTCAATTACTTAACAAGTCTGCATGAATGCATTTCTGATATATCACAATATAACTTTTAAAAATAGCTTTGTCTATATAAATAAAAAGTCATCTTTAGGGCTTATGTACATGGGGCTGAACGATGGAAACTGCTGGAAAACGTAGGTTTAGCCGCGTTTGCATACCGCGTTAACCGTGTTTATGTACATTTGCGTTTAAAAGCGTTTTTAAAAGATAAACTCAGGAGACCCTCCTAAATGCCCAGAATGCACTGAAATATAGTAAATTCACTGAAAAAGGCTACTAAAATATGCATGAGTTATTTTAGCAAGTCATGCGATATTTTAGTAGTGAAAAGCATGCATTAATGTTTCAGCTGTCAGCAGGATTCCCACTGACAGCTGAATGTAAAGAAAGAATTGCTGGCAATTAAAAAATAATACAAAAAACAGTGTGGAGTCCCCCCCTCCATCCATACCAAGCCCTTCAGGTCTGGTATGGATTTTGAGAGGAAGCCCCACACCAAAATAAAAAAAAAAATGGCGTGGGGTTCCCCCTAATATCCATACCAGATCCTTATCCGAGCATGCAGCCCGGCAGGTCAGGAACCATACCAGGCCACATGCCCTCAACATGGGGGGGGTGCTTTGGGGTTGGGAAAGCCCCCCCCAAAGCACCTTGTCCCCATGTTGATGGGGACAAGGGCCTCTTCCCCACAACCCCCAGATCCAGCCCCAACCCCCCCCCCCACGTGAATGAGTATGGGGTACATGGTACCACTACCCATTCACAAAAAAAAAAGCTGTAGTGTGAAAAAAGATCATTCTTTGACAAATCCTTTAATAAGAGAATGTCCCCTGAAGTAGATCCAACGTCAATCTCGATGCCCACTGCCGCCGCTCTGGAAAAAAAAAAAAAAGGCTCCTCACTACTGATGCTGGCCCCAAGCCGTCTGCTCAGAAGCTGGTTTGACAGTTCTTAAAGTTCTTCTGTGAAAATACCTGGAAGTGTTACATAGATACATTACTTAGCATGAAGAAAACATCTGATCTAATATAGGCCCAGTTTAATTTTGTACGTATTATATTTAGCCCCAAATAGCCTGAGAAGTTGGGCACAGTATTCTACTCTCTGCTAAGGTGGTGAGCACTAAACAGCGGGGTTCAGTTCCAGTCTTCCTGGTGCCCTAACAGGAAATGCTAGTCCTGTGCAGAATCTACTAACGCATGTTGACCTGTTTTGAATGCCCAATCACATCTTTCTTTGTACTTAGAAAAAGATACCAAAAAAAAAAAAACTTTTGCAACTTGTGAAAACTATGTATAGGGTTGCAAAATTTGAATACCTTACAAATATACTATATCTCAGATATAAGTCCTAACTGTCTGAACCCTGACAATTATGCTAGGTCTAGTGTTGTCACTTTCAGGGAAGCTGAATAATTAACGGTCATGTAGCCTAGCAGATTTCCAGCATTCTACTTTCTACATAAAGTTTATTATGACTTTCCATGTGAGGCACTCTATCCCACTTCCCAAGTGCCCCAGTTGTGATTTATGTTAACTCTGTCTTGTTGGATACTGATTCTATATTGACATGGATTGGCTGCTCTAAAAGAGTTTACTTATGATTTACAATAGGTACACACTAAAACGTGTATACTGCTTACTCAGAGCTCCTGAGCCATACTGTGTCCATATCCAAAATGGAAAACTCTCAAGACAATTCCAGTGTGGGATGGGGATGGGGAGAAGAAAGGTCCAACAGACTACTGCAGCTTCTCCATTAGATCAGAGATGGATCTCAGAACATATGGGAAGGAGAACAATGACAGGGCACTGAAGTTAGTTAAACCATAAATAGTACTACTTTATTAAACATAGCACACTTACACAGTAAGTTCCAGATGATCAGCATGGGATGCGCTGGCTGATACACAGTGGTCAATGAGTGACAGGTGACAACAGCCAAGTGGGACATGCAGCAGAGGTAAAAACTTGCAGTCGAGCTGCATTATTATCACCCCCCATCCGCTTCCCCTTAAACTGCAAAGGCAGCAGAGGATGGGGGGGGGGGGGGGGATGGGGGGTGCAGAGTTGTACACATGCTGCATCAAAGCATCAAGGCAAGACCTATCCCAACTCATGTTTGTAGGGCAGTACCTCCAACCGAGCATGACCCATTCAACTGAATGAGACCATGCTTGCAATTGCATGCAAAAACAGGCAACATAATGCCTCCTTACCAGCTGTCAAATGCCTTCTGAAAAACAATCCACAATGGATTTCTCTTCAGAGGGTGAAGCCCTAAGGGTTGTTTACTTTTCTTTGACACTCATTGCTAACACTTGTTTTAGGTGTGTGGCCTTGAAAAATGGTAGCCATAGATAGCCAGCCAACTGTCATTTTCAAAAGAAGATCAGTAATGACAGTCACATAATTTTGTCACAACAGGTACACTTTAAGTTGAAAGTAGAGAAGCTCTTTATGTGTATGTAAAATTCTCTGTGATGAGTCTGGAGACCACAAGAGAAAATAGATTAAACTGTGTCCTAATTTGCTAATTTTAAAGACATTGGCAAAACTTCAAGCTGCAGAGGGACATTCTTTGCTGCAGAAAATGAGCCATACTCTAGGGAAAGTGACAGAGAAAGAACTAATTTGCTGCCATTGTTCTTTTGCCTGCACCTTTTGTCTTCTTTGTACATCTGGCTTGTAAATATTTTACAACATTATGTAGAATTTGTGTCATGTTGAACACAGATGAATGGATTTGGGAAACTTGAACATCCTTCTGGAGCAGTTTATGAAGGCGAATTCATTGACAATATGTTCCATGGGATTGGCACTTACACATTTCCCAGTGGTGCACAGTACCTTGGAGGCTTTTGTAAGAACAAGTAAGTAAAATATCTTTTGTGTTTGTCTCTATTTTTTTTTTCAGTAGGATGCAACATAATTTGAATAAAAGTGTTGGGCCAAAACATAATCCTCTCTCTCCAAGTACTAACACTATAATATCAAAGCCACCATCAAAAATAACAGTGTAAAAAATGAATACAAATGTAACAGCCTTGTGAGAACAAAAAAAAAAATAAAAAAATCAGTGTGCATAAGTAAATACAAATGGTGTAGAAACTGCATTCAATTCCATGTAAAATTGAAGTGGTTGTAAAAAGGTTCAAGGTTTTTTATCTTCATGCATTCTATGCATGAAGGTAAAAAACCTTCTCTGTGCAGCAGTGCTCCCAGCCCCTCCTAATCTCCTAAGCCCCCTCTCGATCCAGCGATGTGCACCGGAGTCTCGACTATCCTGGGACTCCCTCTTCTCATTGGCTGAGACAGAAGCATGAGCTATTAGCTCCCACTGCTGTCAATCACAGCCAGTGAGCCATTGAGAAGAAAGATGGGGCAGGGCCGAGCCGCAGCTCCGTGTGTGAATGGACACAAAGAGCAGCGGGTGCCCTCATAACAAGCTGCTTTCTGTGGGGGCACCCAGCAGGAAGGAGGGACCAGGAGAAGCTGCGGGGGACCTGGGAAGAGGAGGATCCGAGCTGCTCTGTGCAAAACCACAGAGCAGCAGATAAGTATAGACATGTTTGTTATTTAAAAAAAAAAAAAAAAAAAAAGATATATATATATATATATATACAGTCAGGTCCATAAATATTGGGACATTGACACAATTCTAAAATTTTTGGCTATATACACCACCACAATAGATTTGAAATGAAACGAACAAGATGTGCTTTAACTGCAGACTGTCAGCTTTAATTTGAGGGTATTTACATCCAAATCAGGTGAACGGTGTAGGAATTACAACAGTTTGCATATGTGCCTCCCACTTGTTAAGGGACCAAAAGTAATGGGACAATTGGCTTCTCAGCTGTTCCATGGCCAGGTGTGTGTTATTCCCTCATTATCCCAATTACAATGAGCAGATAAAAGGTCCAGAGTTCATTTCAAGTGTGCTATTTGCATTTGGAATCTGTTGCTGTCAACTCATAAGATGAAATCCAAAGAGCTGTCACTATCAGTGAAGCAAGCCATCATTAGGCTGAAAAAACAAAACAAACCCATTAGAGAGATAGCAAAAACATTAGGCGTGGCCAAAACAACTGTTTGGAACATTCTTAAAAAGAAGGAATGCACCGGTGAGATCAGCAACACCAAAAGACCCGGAAGACCACGGAAAACAACTGTGGTGGATGACCGAAGAATTCTTTCCCTGGTGAAGAAAACACCCTTCACAACAGTTGGCCAGATCAAGAACACTCTCCAGGAGGTAGGTGTATGTGTGTCAAAGTCAACAATCCAGAGAAGACTTCACCAGAGTGAATACAGAGGGTTCACCACAAGATGTAAACCATTGGTGAGCCTCAAAAAACAGGAAGGCCAGATTAGAGTTTGCCAAACGACATCTAAAAAAGCCTTCCCAGTTCTGGAACAACATCCTATGGACAGATGAGACCAAGATCAACTTGTACCAGAGTGATGGGAAGAGAAGAGTATGGAGAAGGAAAGGAACTGCTCATGATCCTAAGCATACCACCTCATCAGTGAAGCATGGTGGTGGTAGTGTCATGGCGTGGGCATGTATGGCTGCCAATGGAACTGGTTCTCTTGTATTTATTGATGATGTGACTGCTGACAAAAGCAGCAGGATGAATTCTGAAGTGTTTCGGGCAATATTATCTGTTCATATTCAGCCAAATGCTTCAGAACTCATTGGACGCCGCTTCACAGTGCAGATGGAAAATGACCCAATGCATACTGCAAAAGCAACCAAAGAGTTTTTTTTAAGGGAAAGAAGTGGAATGTTATGCAATGGCCAAGTCAATCACCTGACCTGAATCCGATTGAGCATGCATTTCACTTGCTGAAGACAAAACTGAAGGGAAAATGCCCCAAGAACAAGCAGGAACTGAAGACAGTTGCAGTAGAGGCCTGGCAGAGCATCGCCAGGGATGAAACCCAGCATCTGGTGATGTCTATGCGTTCCAGACTTCAGGCTGTAATTGACTGCAAAGGATTTGCAACCAAGTATTAAAAAGTGAAAGTTTGATTTATGATTATTATTCTGTCCCATTACTTTTGGTCCCTTAACAAGTGGGAGGCACATATGCAAACTGTTGTAATTCCTACACCGTTCACCTGATTTGGATGTAAATACCCTCAAATTAAAGCTGACAGTCTGCAGTTAAAGCACATCTTGTTCGTTTCATTTCAAATTCATTGTGGTGGTGTATAGAGCCAAAAATGTTAGAATTGTGTCGATGTCCCAATATTTATGGACCGGACTGATATATATATATATATATATATATATATATATATATATATATATATATATAGTGATTCTAAAGAGAGATATATATATATATATATATATATATATATATATATATTTATATATACCTTTAGAATCACTCTAATCGCTCAAAAATGTTGTACCAGTCCACAGTCTGCGCAATTCAATAAAGCATTTGTGGCACATTTCTGGCAGTATGGTTCTTTAAAAAGGCCTCCGCTAAATTTCAGAAAAACCCTGCCACCAGTTTCAGTAGCTTTACCGAATTATGTGGCAAATTCAGGTAGTTGGTGTATAAAGACAGGCACAGTCCCTGTCTCTGTACGCCATGTAGCAAGCAGTATGTTTTCTGCCTACCCCCACTCCTCACCTGTCATTGGTAGTCAAGGATGCTGTTGTATTCACAACCATCAGGTTCCTAGCAACCAGTGACACTGACAGTGGGTGGAGCCTAATGGGAAATCTGTGCAACTATTTTCCAATGAGGTTCGCTATTTCTTTGTGATTGACGGCAGGCGATAGGTGAAATTTATAGCCAATAGCAGGCTGTCTGTCAAAAAGAGAGAGCAGACCTGATGAGGAATTAGTTCCCATCAGACTTCCCCCACCCAACTACAAAATTCCTCAGCCGCTGCACTGTTTGTGTGACAGGTGCAGTGGAAAGCAGGGAGCTGAGCAGCACTGAGGCCAGAGTGTCCATATAGACATTCCTAACTCAGTGCTTCTGCGCACAGTAAATGTTTTTCCAAGAATTCAGTCATGCCACCATAAACAATGTTGAGCCAAGCACCAACATCTGCAGTGTAGTGGCATGACTGAATTTTGAAGAGTGACTTTGACACTGTTTATTAATTTCCCTCAACTTTTCAATCCTAGCAAACATCTCTTCAATGCTTTTGTGTAAAGTCCATCAACAAAACAGTCAGGGGAAATCATTAAGAGTGTCCTACGACAAATATTGGTGCTGATGACCAATCCAAGTAAAAGGAAACAGAAATCTGTGGCACCCATTGTGTGCGGAGGCACGCTTAGACCAGAGTGTCCATATGGATACCCTGTTTAGAATGTAGCTGAGTTCCTGCCACTGCAGCTATCACATAGTGTGTAGGGAGTTCAGAGACACTAGTTCCCCATAAGATCAACTCTACTTGTGCTTGACAGCAGGCAGTGGGTGGATCCGTGACCATTAAATTGCCTGCTATTGGCTATAGAATCCACCCACTGCCTGCAGACAATCACGTTTCAAGAAAAAAAATCAGACCTGAAGGGGAGCTAGTGTCTCAGCTTCCACATCAGGCTGCATATTGTGTCACTGGTTGCTAGGAGGCTGACAGCAGCCCTAACAACTAGTGTAGGGATGCAAGGGGATAGTGGCAGCAAATATTCTGCCTAAAAATAATTTCAACTTAAACTAGAAAAGCTACAATTTCTGGGGAAATTGTGTGAAGTGTTCTTGCCTCCACCAGTAGTCTACAACTGGAGTGGGCGGAGTAACTGGATGGAGTGGCTTGTCACTCTGCTGTCTGCTCACACACCTGGGTTCCTATGGCAACTCCCTCTACAGCAAGGGCAGAGAAGAGCGGTTAAAAACAAACTGCTCCAACTTGCTCACTTCACTGGTGGTTGCCATCTTCAAATGGTTGTAATTTAAAAATTATAAATCCTACACTGAAGAGCTTTATATTGTGAGAATCACAAGACCCAGACCTACATTTTGATGTATAGAATGTCTCTGAAATATTAAAAATGAAGGCACAGTCGCAGTTTAGAAATTGCCCTTCAAATTTGAGGTGGCTAGAGTGGAGTTTCAATGAATGTCAATGGGCGGCGTGAGTTGCAAACAAATGGTCATATTGTGAAAACTATCAGGACTATGGCTTAGCCGTGGACATTTGTAGTGGCAGCAGGGATAGCTGAAGGTTTTGATATAAGATTTGTGTAGGTGGGCTTGAAAATGAGGGCGTGATGGCAGTTTAGAAATCATGTCCTGATTTTTCTGCTCACACTATAGCTTTTGTCAGCTCCCACTCTAGTTTTGAACATTCCGCCATTCATTCCTATGGGACCAATTTCACCACAAAAACGCTGATATTTCGTGAACCATTTGGCGAAACGTTCCACAAAGTAATAGCACACCAATCGCACGTTTTTTTTCGGTATATTACTGTCTATGTAGTGTAAAAACTATGGGAGGAGTTAGGGTGGTAAATTTGGCTATAATAAAATAAAGAATATGTATGTGAGATAACAGTAAGTGGTCTTGCCATGCAAGAACATTTAATTATGTGCTGTATATTTCCATGCCATGCCATCACACAGTATATCTACAATATTTTGTGAAAAAAATATTGTTTCTCATGAAAAAAAAATATTTTTATATTTTGTATGAGATAAATAAATTTTTTTACAAAATGTTGTAGATATATGATTGCATGGTATGAAAATATGTGCCACACTGATTTAAGTTGAAATTATTTTTATGCATGTGTGGACACAGAGGCCTTGATTCATTATTGGGCTGTGGGCGCATATTTATGGGCTTAAGCCCAATTTTCATGGGCGTTCCGTCCATTTTTTACCCTGCAACCT